CCTCCTGTGTTTGCGGCTAGAGACTTGAGCAGGGTTGCTTTCGGGAGATTGGTCCTCTTGTAAAATCCGCTTTACCACAGCGTACACAAAAATACATTTGGGACCTCCGTGGCCTAGAGGTTAAGTTGTTGGCCTCTCATTCAAAGGTCTCGGGTTCGAATCCGGGTAGCGACCGAAAAATTTTCTTTTCCAAAATTGTCTCCTTTCACCTCCTTTCCTGCTTTCTAGCAATGCTCTGTTGTTTGCTTTCATTTCCATTTTCTGCCCCCACCCCCTCACCTCCTTTGCCCCCTCCTCTGGGCTCCTGACTCTTTCTTCAGCCTTTCTACTGCTACTCCTTGACTCCTCCTACTGCTGTCTTTCTGCCACACCCCTGATCTTCTGGTAGGAAAGATCTACATCTAGACTTGTCGGACAAGGGCGAAAAATCTCGGAGGGCCCGTGAGCAAGTTGCGCACGTTAAAAATCCCTTGGTGGTCTAAAATCGATAAGAGTAGGCTTCGGCCGCCACCCGGGCAAAAATTCAGAATTTCCTACCAACTGAAAATATTAGGTGTGTCCCGCTCGTTCATGTGACCTTATGCGCAAGATAGATGGGTATTTTTATTTTTATTTAAAAAAGATAAATGAACAAGTTTTAAGATAATACCAATAATTCCACATGCACAAAAATTGACGAGCGCCTGATTCCACCGCGTCGTGACACATTCAATACAGAAATGCAGGAAGACTAGACACTATCACTAACAGAAACAACCTACAAACATGTCGTCGCTGGTCGCCACTGTGCAGCGCCCTGCTTGGGGGCTCTCGTTTTTCAAGAGATTAAGGTGTTCGCGTCTCATTCGATAGGTCGTGGGTTCCAATCCGGATAGCGACGAAAATTTTCCTTTCCAAAACAAAATTCTCCCTGCACATCCTTTCCTGCTCTCTAACAATGTTTTGTCGTCTGCCTTCGTCTCCACATTCTGTCCCCATCCCCTCTCCTTTGCTTGACTCTCCATGCAGCCTTTCAACTGCTACTCCTTGGTTCCTTCTCGCTGCTGTCTGTCAGCCACACCCCTGATCTTGTGGTAGGAAAGATCTGCACCACCTAGCCTAGATAGGTAAAGAAGGAGCAGAACACACCAGAGCACCCGCCAACCACCCACATTATGATCAACGCAAAGGCAGAGACACATGCGTGGATGGAAGATAGAGTTGGGCCATGGGGATCCGGTAGAGAACACGACCGTGGCGAGCGACTCATAGAATAGCGCACAGAAAACAGACTCAGGTAGACACCATGTCCGCACTCTTTTGCTTGCCTTTCAAACCAAGTAAAACCGCCCGAGAATAACATAAGCCATAAGCACGAAGGAAGAGTCCCAGAGATGGAACTAGTAACCAAATAGACGTTATACAAGTATGAAACGTTTCAGAAAAGCTGTAAATAAAATAAAACATCAAAATCATTGCCAGAAGCAGAATTTGACAATGACCCCGTACCAGCCATGTTTTAGATACACAGATAAAAACTGAAAGAACTAAAAAAAAAAAAGTTGAAGTATCAACTCAAATCGTTTGACTCCAAGTCAAGTCTGTGCTCCTCAAAGGCAGCGAAACTTGGAAGACAACAAAGACAGTACTGAAAAAAGTTCAGACGTTCATCATCATCAACATATCATGTATGAGGACTAGTTGGGGTTGGGGGTTTTTTTGGTGTTTTTTTTTTGGTAAGTGTTTTACGGCGCTTGCAACTGCATAAGGTCATATGAGCGTGCGGAACACACCTAATACTTTTAGTTGGTAGGAAATTTTGAATTTTGCCAGGGTGGCGGCCGAAGCCTACTCTTATACTATTTTTAGACCACCAAGGAATCTTTAACGTGCGCAACTTGCACACGGGCCCTCCGAGATTTTTCGCCCTTGTCCGAGAAGGCTATGTGTAGGTGTAGATCTTTCCTACCAGAAGATCAGGGGTGTGGCAGAAAGACAGCTGTAAGAAGGAGTCAAGGAGTAGCAGTAGAAAGGCTACAGAAAGAGTCAGGAACCCAGAGGAGTGGGCAAAGGAGGTGAGGGGTGGGGGCAGAAAGGGGAGACGAAAGCTGACGACAGAATATTGCTAGAGAGCAGGAAAGGGGGTGAAAGGAGACAATTTTAGAGAAGAACAGTTTTTGGTCGTTACCCGGATTCGAACCCGGGACCTTTGAATGAGAGGCCAACACCTTAACCTCTAGGCCACGAGAGCCCCCCATGAGGAGTAGGCTATCCTACGAATTAAGTGGTAGGATAGAATAAGAAGTGAAGAGCTGTAGGAAAGGACAGGACAAAAGGATATATAGAAGTAGAAATAAATAGGACTAAGAAAGTGGCGATGGATGGGACACACCTTCAGAAAGCCCAGCGGAAACACCACCAGACAATCATAGCAGTGGAACCCACAGAGAGCACGATGAAGGGGTAGGCCACAGCAAACATGGAGGAGATGTGTGGAAAGGGACATGAGAGAGATGAAGCTCACTTGGAACGAGCTACGAAGGATGGCCTAGGACAGTGATAAAAGGAAGGCGCTTGCATGTGGCCTATACCCTGCCAGGGGTGAAAGGGATTGATGATCAACTCAAATACATGTAACAAATATCCCTTAGGACAAACCAAGAATTAAAAGAATGCTTCCCTTATATTAATATGATGCAAGTAATAAATTCCAAACTCTAGAACACATGACAATATCTGAAGAATTAGTGCGGAAAAGGATTCACAGAAGGAAACTAGGAAAGAAAATAACCCCTCACCGAAAAAAGGCAAATAAATCTAAGAAAGCAAACAATGTATGACCAGAGAGTAAAAGCAAATGTGAGTTGTGCTTACA